TTTCTCTCGTGTATGTAGGAGAAAATCGGCCACTAGCATGTATGTTCAAGAGGTTGGGACATGGTGTATTTATAGGCTCCATTAGGGACCTTAAGGAGGTGCTAAATATGGGCCTATTAGGCCAAGGAATCCTAATCCCATTCCATCTACTAATCCAATCTAGGATAGAACTCTCTTACTACTCATCACCTTCTAGAAGACTCTCTAGTCTCCTAACATTAGACAAGATTCTAGTAGAAATATTCCCTTCCTAATGGAATAATAAATATAGAATAAAATTAATTCTTTATTAAATGGAATAAAATAATAAAACATCCCACTAGAGTAATATTATTGCTCTCCCCATTTAGCTCCTAATTTATCAATAAATTCGAAGCTCCATAATTAAATAACATTAATCTGATTGATCGATTTACCTCCCTATGTTTAATATATAACATCTGTTGATTAATTAAATTACTAACAAAATAATTAATCAACTTCCTATTCATTTTTGAAATTAGTACCACTCAGATCCTTAACCATTATGTCAGACAATCGTCTATCTGCAGGATTTTAACATAATGTACATTCCTGAGCTCATTTCGGGGACGTCATCAATCAGCACACTTGAACATAGTGACCATAAATAATTTATAATAGCACATCATATAATCATTCTTATTTACTAAAATACCTCGTATGTCATCCTAATAATAATAGGAATCACTTGATAAATTATATAAACAAGAAGTGAATATATATGCCTATTTTATATTATCTTACAACTTAAGAGAACGCATCAATCACCGAAGGTCTAGATTACAACAACGATCAGTGAGTCTCATAATCTTATCCTTCCGCGGTCTTGTTCAACACTTATCATAAGTGCAAGTGTAATTCTTCATTCAAAGACCAATTGAATCAAGAATACACTACAGTCTATTTCCAAGAGGGGTCTCACTGTCTGTCTAGACTGTGAACGAATAGTTTAGTCTTATAAGGAACTGATAGGTGATCTTTCTGTTCGAAACAATTCGAACGACACTACCTCAATATAAGACAAGGAGTATGATTTGCACAAATAAATAAACTGCAAATATATGTACTTTGACTGAAACATGATGGACAGATTAAAATTGAATCGATAGAATCTGCAAAACATAGCTTTTACAGCATATCTCTAACATCAACTAGTGGAGAATTTTCCCTTGGTAAAAACAAGAAAAACAATTTTAATGAGGTCGGATGACTGTGTTTGTTATATATTAAATCAGCTCTGATGTTGTGCTTATGTCAGCAGTTTTTAGAAAGAGAATAATTTTGAGTCCGTTATTATAATAATAATGGGGTATTTATAGTGAAAAACCCATGGACACTTTTTACGATGTTTGTAGAGTAGCATTAAATGCAATTTCATGGTGACATGCTGCTTTACAAGGGAGGGCCCACCCCTAATGATCACTTTTTGACAGTATGATGGACATGCGTCCCGTCTGCCATTAGTGCGCTTGCAGTGGTCGGGTTTCGAAGAATATAAATTGATCTCCAAACTCGGTTCTTTATAATGTAGGTTGTTCCCTTTGATGTCGAGTTGAATGGCTTGTCCATCATTCTCCTTGAGGTCGGGTGGATGCGGATTTGTGTCACGCGCGTCTTGTATGGATTACACTTTTCAGTTTCGATTTGAACACATATTTGAAAATAATTTTCTGTTAGACATATAATTTTATAAATGTAATTAAAATAATTATTAGTTTTTAAAACTCTAGGGTATAAAATTTATCTCATTTTAAATATTTATCTCCGAAGCCATTCATTTGTGGTACACTTATTTTTATTATTTTTAATAATAATATAAATGCTTTTAAATGTGTTCATTTTTTTTATTTTACTATACAATTCATTTTAAACACATATATTGTACACGGGAGTCCGTATTAGTATCTATATATAATGAAAATTAGTATACTAATAGGTCCAAAAATGTACAACTTTATTTATTTAATAGTATATATTTATACACTTAATTTATTCGCACTTTTATATTTTTGACTTATTTATTATTTGGATGGATTCATATATTTTAATTTTTTTGGTCTATTTTCAGTAGTTTTGATTTGCCATAGATGAAACTTCGGGTGAGAGTTTTGGGCCAATTAATGAATGCTTCAATATTGGGCCAATTAAAGCCCACAAAGTAGTATAATTGAGCCCCACTATCCTGGCCACGTGATGTAATTGAGGCTGCTCATTCTTCTTTCATGGGCCAAGGATTATGCAATGGAATTGGGCAATTGGGCTAAATGTAGGTAGGATTTATTGTACTAGTTAAGATGGAATTTGTGGAGACATGGAATTGGGTTGCTAGTTGTGTAAGTATGTCTTACTTGTATGTGGAATTCTAGATGATAATATGAGTGTTGGTAAAATATATCGTACTAATTTAAATGATTTTAGTTAATTATATTTAGTTAAATATCTTTAAATGTTTTTTTTGTGATCAAGAACATGATTGTTGATATTTTTTTATTTAGTTAATGAGTTGATCTTGAATCAAATTGTGTTGTTGATATGTGTTTGTGATTTTTGATCAATGTGGCCATATTTAATGACTTGATGGTGAAAGTTGGTATTTTATGTGTCGTAGTCGTAAATAATAAAATAATGAGGTCGGAGAGTAATTTTTGGAGTTGAAAAGCCGGCAAAAAAAAAAAAAATGGAGTTATGGGCTACAACAACTGTCAATCTGTGGGGGATCTAATGCATATAAATTTCTGTTGGTGAGTTAATTTCTGCTATCTATTTTTTATTGTTTATGAATTATGAATATTTGATTTAGTTTGGCCAACAACGTTTAATGTTCATTTATTTGCAAGAGACGAGGCTTAATCCGTAATTGTTATCTTGTTTCGTTACTAGTATACTAGGGCTCGTCATTCCTATCCTATGGTAGCTTGAACATAAGTTAAATGGTCCAAGTTTTCGTGTCAGTTGCGTAGATTAATATATTTTCCTAGGATTTAATGTTGCTAGTGTATTAAATCTTGAGAGTTTATTCTAGGTTATCCACTATTTAGGTTTAATCGAACAACTTATTTCGATTCAGTATTCGACAAGATAAATCCAGTTAACAGAGCTTATTGTTAGTTAAGATTGATAATTCATCAACAATTTAGAAAAAAATATCGAATTTAATTAACTGTAGATTTTGATTAGATGATAACCGAATCAAAATTGATTTTATCTCATTTATTATTTTTGTTTTATTTTTTATTGTTATTTTTTTAATAAAATCAGATCCCCTTTTATTATTTTCTTAGTTTTCATTCGACTCATACCAGAATAGTCACAATATTGTTCCTACTCGTCGTGAGATCATCCTATCACTCTCCGCTTCTATTAGTTAGTGAATGTTAGTTGAGGAAAAAAAATAAAAATTTTAATTTGGCGCTTTGCGACGCGCGATCATATACTTTTTAATATTCAATAATTTGTTAAAGAATTTGTTTTGAAATTAACCGTAAAAAATAATAATAAAAAATTGAATGCATATCGATTTAGTTATAATTAATATTAAAAAATGTGGTGGTGAAAACTTGAAAGTCCTAATGTATATATATAATTTTTGAAAATATTACTTTCAATTTTAATTTCTATTTCAAAATATAAGATGCAATAAAGAAAAATATTGAATGTAATATTAACTTTTAAAAATATTAAATTTATTTAATTAAATTTCTATTACTATACTTTTATTAAATATTTTGAAAATATTCGAATAAGTACCTAAGAAAAATTGATATAAAATCACAGAATAATAGACATTTAAAGTTACAGTTTCTCGATACGGATATATGCGAAAGCTACAAAATAATACCAATTCAATCATTCAATGGTTAATTTAAAATATTAGTTTGCTTTCCCAAACAATTTGGTATGTTTCAAATCCCTTATTCAGCATTAGGGATGTAAATTATGCACCCCGTGACACAAAAATTGAAATATTCAACTCAGGAATACATATAATAAATACATATATATATTTCAGAAAGTTGAAGATCTTATTGTGTACCCAAGAGCGCTTGGATGAGATGGCTTAGGTCTCTTCCAGCTTAACCAGTGGTCTCGAGTTCGAGCCCTGAGAATGCAGCAGTGTTAAAACTCTTGAGGGAGAGCTTTGCCGCCCTTGTGGTCCTACCCGGCTCGATTCCGGATTAGTCGGTTCCCCTGCGTGGATCCGGAAACCGGAAGGTCCCTGTACCAAAAAAAAAAAAAAGATCTTATTGTGTGACCAAATCAACTCTAACACCTTTACCATTTCAAATAGCCCCCACTTGAATATATTATAGACAACATGCCACTATATATGATCTCCACCCACTATGTATACGGCCATAATATAATCACGGCTGCATACAATTTTCTACTAGCTAACGACCCATGCAATATTTTTCTACTTCAATGGCTACTAATTCTATTTCTTCTTTTTCTTCTTCTTCTTCTTCGTCCTTGATGAGTCCTCCAGATCTTCAACTGATAGAGGACATGACCCGACAGGCCGAAGAGGTCCAGCAAAATGTGTTGTCTCAAATCCTGACACAAAATGCGGAGACCGAATACCTCAAAGGCCTGGGCCTCGATGGGGCCACTGATATCGAGACCTTTAAATCTAAGGTCCCGGTAGTCACTTATGAGGATATCCGGCTATTGATCCGGAAAATGGCCGATGGAGATCCTTCCTCAATTTTATGTGCTCAACCCATCACTGAATTTATTTTCAGGTGACTATATAATCGTAAATAATCTAACCACGTCATGCAAAACGTAGCTGACAAACAAATATTATCACATTTTGTTTTTTTCTTTTAACTAATTTCGTGTTTTGGGTTTTCTCTACTTTGAATAGCTCGGGTACAACAGCCGGGGTACCCAAACTCATACCGTCGACTGACGAAGAGAGGGATCGTCGCATGCACCTTGTCGATCTTATTACGCCTGTTATGAACCAGTAAGTGTACATACAATTGACATAGTTACAATGTTCGCTAGTATTTTGTGCAACACTGGAAATTTTCGCCTTTAGTATCTAAAATTTACTTGTCGTTTGCATTTTGAAAGATTTTTAATACAAATGATCAAAATTATGGAGAATGCTACAATCCCGTTACAGTACAGTTCCGTTGGTGTTTTTAACCGTAGATACACATGTAGATTTGTGACGTGAATAATCTACGGTGAAAATTATCGACGAAACCGTACTGTAACAGGACCGTAGTCTTTCCCCAAAATTATATCTTTGAAATCATCTCCTGCATGATAGGATAGGAGAGGTCAAACTCTTATACATATACAACATGGAAATTGGGAGGACGCACCTTTCACTAATTTTGTATTTAGAAGAGAGATTTCAAGAAACATAAGCTTGATGTGGATAACTGGATATATTCACGAGTTCTGATTGGTTTTTTAGTTGACCAATGTTAGTTTTGAAAACGTTAATTGGATTAAGTTTGAGTGCTGAGTTTATAATATTTAAAAGATAATAATTAATATTGATTTGACATAGAAATATGAGATGACTCATTAAAGATGATGGATATTAAAATTAAGTGGGTTAATGAATATACATTAATGAATTAAAGTTGATGTTATACTTCTGTCATTTAGAATGAAATACATGCAATGAGTGAGTTTTAATAATAACTATTATACGAGAGAATTACAAGAAAAATTGCATTTGGCGACGCTTATTAATGACGCTTATTGGCGAGTTATGTTGCTAAATTTGATGTCAGAAAAAAATAAGCGTCAGTAAACAAAAAAATAAGCGTCGCCAAATGCAGTTTTTTCTTGTAGATAATAGTTAAAAAAATCTAATTATTACTTCATTAAATATATAATATAGTGATTTGTTTCCATTATTAACCAGAAAAATGACTTATTATTATATAGATATAGATATAGATATTTATAAAAGGATGATGAAATAAGTTGAGCTTACATTTAAAATATCCTACCAACAATCATATAGAACAACCTATCCTATATAAGTATGTTGTTCAACAAAAGTTAACCGATTTAAATAAATAAAAATTAAATATTATAATATTGCAACTACATTGATAAACCAACACAATTAATATTAAAAATGATTAAAAATTAAACAAGAAAACAAGCATGCACCTTCGCCAAGGCAATTTTATTCGACTTGCTTTTATTAATTTACTAAGAGTTAAAAAAAATGGCTCCGATTAGAATACACTACAAAAAAATGATGAGATTCAAATGTAAAATTCCAACATAAATATATTCTAATAAATTCCAGCGGCAATTCTAATAGATATTCTAATGTTATTATTTCTGTTGGAATTTCTCAATGGATTCTAACGGAAATTCCAACAAAAATATTCAGTTGGAATTAGTTTTCCCTTGGAGTTTCGTTGGATTTTAACAATTTCAACGGTAGATTGTCCAACGGGAGAGGAAATAAAAATCCAACGAAAATTGATACTCCAACTATATTTCTATGGTAAAAATCTATTGAAATAATAACCGTTGAAATCATAAAATTTCATCAATTTCATCTAAAATTGCAGTGGATAACTCATTCCAAAGAAATTTTTGTTGGAATCATTTCAACGGAAACTATATCATTGGAATATTTGTTGAAATTTCTATTGAAATGTATTAACCTATGATTTCCCATTAGAATATACCAGTGTTTTTTGTTGTAATAGGTACATCAAGGGACTCACAGAAGGCAAAGTGCTTTACTTCACATATGCGAGGCCCGAATTGATCACCGAAGGAGGGATCCCCGCTCGATCAGCAATCACGAGTTTGTACAAGAGTGCCACCTTCATCACCCGACAATCCTTCCCTTACAGCGCCTACACTAGCCCCAACGAGGCCATCCTCTGCCTCGACACCCACCAAAGCACCTATGCCCAATTGTTGTGCGGCCTTTACGAACGCGAACAAGTCCTCTCCATCGGGGCCTCCTTCGCCTCCACCCTACTCCTAGTCATCAAGTTCCTCGAGCTCAACTGGAAACATCTCGCCCAAACCATCCGAGCTGGCTTTGTTGACCCCAATCTCATGACTCATGCCTCGACCCGCGAGGTCGTGTCCCGCACAATGCGACCCGACCCGGACCTGGCCGACCTCATAACTCGCGAGTGTGCAAGCAGCGATTGGGAAGGGATCATCATCCGCATCTGGCCCAACGCCAGGTACCTGGACGTGATCGCCACGGGACCCATGGCCCAGTACATCCCGACACTCAACCACTACAGCGGTGGGCTCCCGATCGCAAGCACCATATATGTGTCCTCCGAATGCTTCTTGGGGATCAACCTCAACCCGCTGCGAACCCCTCCCGAGGCGTCGTCCTACACACTGATGCCTCACATGGCCTACTTCGAATTCCTGCCGCACGGTGGAGGAGGAGAGGGGCCCATTGACCTCGTCAATGTCGAGCTCGGAAAGGAGTACGAGGTGGTGGTTACGACGCGCACAGGGCTGTACCGGTACCGGATGGGCGACGTCCTGCGGGTCTCCGGGTTCCACAACCGGGCCCCAGAGTTCATGTTCGTTGGACGCAAGAGCGTGCTGTCGAGCGTTAACGGGGAGAAGGTGGATGAGGCCGAGCTGCAGGCAGCAGTGGAAGAAGCTGCAGCTGTTTTGGCCAGGGAGTGTGGGACGGGCTTGGTAGACTACACGAGCCGCACGGACAACACAGTCGCCCCGGGCCACTACATTGTGTACTGGGAGCTGCAGGAGAAGGGGAGCCAAGCCCTTGGGGATGTGTTGGCCAGGTGCTGCCTGACGGTGGAGGAGTCGTTCAACTGGGTGTACCGTATGCTGCGGGCTGCAGATAAATCAATTGGGCCGTTGGAGATCAGGGTAGTGAGGATGGGGAGTTTCAGTGAGTTGATGGAGCAAGCGATATCGAGGGGAGCTTCCCTTAGTCAGTACAAGGTGCCCAGGTGTGTTAGGTCCAAGGAAATGGTGGATCTTCTCGACTCACGGGTCGTATCCACACATTTCAGTCCCTCGATGCCACATTGGAGCCTAAAAACACCTATATAGAAAGTGTGCGCTACGTCTACAAATAACTTTATCGATATATTAATTTTCTCTTTTTTTTTTTAATTGAAAAAAAATATTTTAATGTTTGATTCGTAAGTGACAATATAATTTTCATATTATTCATATAGGAAATAGTAGGTATGAGGAATAAAAAAAATTATGACTTGTGAGTGTGAGTAACATATATATGGATCACTACAATAAAATAATGAAATTCCAATAAAAAATTCCAACGGGAATATATTCTAATGGAATATCAACGGCAATTTCAATGGATATTCCAATGCTATTATTTTTGTTGGAATTTTTCAATAAATTCCGACGGAAATTCAGACAAAAATATTCCGTTGGAATGAGTTTTCCGTTGGAATTTTCATTGAATTTTAACGATTTCAACGGTAGATTTTTCATTTTTTTTGGATTGCAAGTGCGATTAATGTCCTTATAGTATCTAGCCTTGCAACTGGATCGAAAGTCTCGTTGCAATCGATCCCGAGAAATTGTGAGTACTCTTTAGCAACCAGTCGTGCTTTATTTTTTTTTTTTTGAGCTATCTGGGTTAAGCTTCATCTTGGATACCCACTTAACTCCATTGACTTCTTTGTTGTTTGGTAGATCGACCAACTCCCAAGTTTTATTCTTCTCGATCATCTGGTTTTTTTCTCCATGAATTTTACCTATTTTTTTCTTCCTCTGCTGCTTCAAAGCTTCCATGTTCCACCGAGGAAAAATTTCATGTCTAAAAACTTTCCCTGATTGTTCGTACTTTTGTCCGTGGTGATTTTGGAGATGACTGTTTATCGCTAGATGGTGATGATATCCTCAGACCGGAAGGTTGTGGAGCTGGAGGTGTTTATATGTACCTTCTTGTTCATCTTCATGTTTTTCTGGTATTATAATTTGCCTATGTGGTGCAGGTACCATGACATTTTGGTATTCGACTTTTGCTTATTCCCAGTTTCACACAGCATTTTCATCGAACTCGACATCTCGACTGATAATTAGTTAACAGTCTTGAGGATGTAAATTCTTTATCCTTTAGATTGAGAGGCATAGCCAAGGAATATTACTTTCTAGAATTTCTCCTCAAGTTTGTGTCTATTTTCCTTTGGTTTATGCACGTAGCAGATACTCCCAAGAGACTCGTAGATGTTGGGGTAATGGTTCTTGTTCACTCCAAGTTTCCATGGGAGTTTTATTTTGAATTGCTTGAGTGGGGCACCTGTTGAATAGATAGACTACAGTGTTATAGAATTTCTACCCAAAATTCATTCGGCATGTTCATCTCCACTAGCACTGTCGTGTCCATCTCTTGTACGGTTCTGATTTTCCTTTTCCACACGTTGTGTTGCTCTGGAGCGTAGATGACAATTTAATGGCTCACTCCTTCATCCTCACAGAATTTTTGGAACTTCTAGGATGTGTATTTTGTTCCTCGATCACTTCGTAGAACTTTAATTCTTCTCCCACTCTGATGTTCATCTAGGCTTTTTAATTTTCTAAAAATAGAGAAGTTCACCCAAGTCATTTTTGTATAGTCATCAATGAAGTAGATGAAGTACCTATTCTTAACGAAGGTTGGTGTCCTCATTGGTCCGCACACGTCTGTATGCACCAACTCAAGTATTTGTTTGTCTCTTCTTATATGAATTTAATGAAATGGTTTTCTCTGTTGTTTTCCCTCGATCGCTAACATGTGACTCATATTCCCTCAACAAGTCTGTTGAAGAACTTCGTTAGCAGACTCTTTGTGAAAAGATATGCAAGGTTTTTCTCCGATGTTTTCTTCACGACCATTGCATACCCTCTTCTTATGATTTCTCGTATCAGGTGCTACTTGCGCTCTATGTGTTTACTCACCTTATAGACTCGTGGCTTCTTTGAGTTTGCTATTGCTCCACTGCTATCACAGTAATCAGTAAAACCTCGTGGCAAACTCAGCACCACTTTCAAGTCCAACATGAAGTTCCTGAGCCATACCCTTTTTTTGTTTTTGTCTCAGATGCTGCGACGTACTCGACTTCTATGATGAAATCTACCATGTATTTCTGCTTGAAACTCCTCCATACAATGGCTTCATCTCCCGATGTATACACAAATCGTGAGGTAGATTTAATTTTCTCCTGGTCTGATGAAAGTCGGAATCGATGTCACCCATAAGGATCAATTTATTGGTCAGTAGACCAACATTTAATCTTTGGTCCTCTTCAGGTGCCTGAATAAATGCTTGACCACGGTCCAATGACCCTGTCTTAGGTTAATTTGATACCTGCTTACAATGCTTACTGCATAGCATATATTTAGCTTAGTACTCACCATACCATACATGAGACTTCATACTGCCGATGCATAAAGAACCTTTCTCATGTTTTCTATCTCTTGAGACCTCTTGGGAGACATCTCTTTAGGCCGTGGAACGTCCTGCTGAATGGGTAGAATCTTAAAGTCTTGCATGCTAAAATGAGCTAAAACAGTGTCTTTGTATAAGGACTGGGATAAGCACAACATTATTTTATCTTAGTGACGAATCACCTCGATACTGAGGATTAAATGTGGCTAATTGTCGGGCTGGGTCGTAGCCTGGCCCAGACAAGCACGGACCGGCAGGACCAAAAAAAATTACGAACCGGCCCTTAGGAGGCCGGTTCGGGCCAGTCTGGAACCAATTTCCGACTGGGTCGCCCTTGGCCATGTCTACCGAGAATGTGTTTTGCTTCTCCCAGATCCTTTATATCAAACTGCTCGAACAACCATACCATGTTTGACAACACTTTTACATTATTTCTAATAAGAAGGATGTCGCCTACGTACAACACAAGAAGTGCCACCACGTTTCCTTCACTTTTTCTATGTACGCACTGCTCATTCGGGAATTAAGTGAACCCGTATGACTGGATCACCACATCGAACTAGATGTTCAAAGTCCTCTTACTGCAGTCCACAAATTGACCGATTAAGCTTACAAACCAGATGCTCACGGCCTTGCGATAAACCCCTCTGGTTGCTGCATATAGATGTCTTATTGAATACTCCCATTAAAAAAAATTCGTCTTAACATCAACCTGCCAAATCTAATAATCCATATGAATGGCAACAACTAAGAGAATCTGAATGGGATTGAGCATGGTTACTGCGATAGTGTTTCCTCATAATCGATACCTTCTTTCGTAGTATATCCCTTCGCAACAAGCCTGGCTTTGAAGGTCTCAACCTTCCCATCCTATCATCTTTTTCTCTTATAGACCCACTTGCATCCAATGGATTGTACCCCACTTGGTGGTTCCACATGATCTGAGACCTGATTGAAGTCCATTAACTCTATTTCAGCCATCATCGCACTTTGTCATAACTCTGCATCCTTGTCTTCGAGCACCTCGTCGTAGGTCGAAGAGTCAAGTTGTAGCTCACCCAAGACTAAGTGCAAAGACTCTGAGGAACATAAACTTGTCGGGCTGTCTAACAACCCTCTCATCATGACGAGGTACCGCCTGCACAGACGCTCGACCTGTCCCCTTAACACCTCTAAGACAAGTTTACTAGTGTTCTTGAGATCTAACAATATAGTCTTCCTCCAAGAATCTAGCATTCGTGCTAACGATCACCTTTTGGTCCTTGGGAATATAAAATAAGCCATACTTTGTTCCCTAATGATAGCTCATAAACAGTCGTACCTCTTATCCTTTTTCCAACTTATCAGCATCCTGCACCAGCATATGTTTTGGACTACCCCATACCCGAATATGCGACAGACTGGGCTTGCACTCTTGCAACAACTCAATCGGAGTAGTTGCATCTGACTTAGTTAGAACTAGGTTCAAGATGTACGTTGTTTGTTCAAGGGAGAGTCCCCAGATCGATTTTGGGTGATTTGAAAAACTCGTCATCTACCGAAGATCTTAATAGTTGATTATGAGTATAAATTCTTTTCATAGGAGTTTTATTCCTCTGTTCTACCGCCCCGTTTTGCTGAGGCGTGCCGTGTGTAGATAATTGGGACACAATTCTAGACTCTAATAAGTACGTCCTCAACTCTCCAAAAAGATATTCACCACTTCGATCTGATCGAAGTGACTTGATACTTTTACCATGATGTTTCTCCACAACTGCCCAATACACTTTGAATTTCTCAAAGCATTTGACTTGTGAATCATCAAGTAAACGTACCCAAATCTCTACTGGTCATCAATAAACGTAATAAAGTACTCGAAACCTCTTCTAGGCTTGATCGACATAGAATCAAATACATCGTAATGAATCAGTTCCAGCACATTCTCGCACTTATGCCATTTTGCAAAAATGGCCACTTGGACATTTTGCCTTATAGGAAGGACTTGCAGGTTGGGTACTCACCTACCTCTATTAGACCTAGTTGTCTAATGGACACCAACCATTGAATCCGCAAGGTTAATATACCCAAACGTAAGGTGGCAGAGATATGTTTAATTCATTTTCGAAGCTTATTTTCTCTTATTATATTCAGTTAATGTGCTATTCAGTTTCGATATCATAGTGTGGGATTGTTTGGTTTAAGAACATATAAGTTTCATACTAATGAACTAACACAAATAAAACGTTTGCCATTACGAATAATAACCTTTTCATGAAATAAATCGGTAAATCTATTCATGAAAAGCTTAGAAACAAAAATCAAATTTTGACTAAACATAGGAACATGAAGGCAATGTCTCAAAACCAAACATATACCCTATTCAAGCATAAAGTAATGTCTCTCACTACAACAACACTCGCCTTCGTGGCGTTGTCCATGTAGACAGTGATCTCTTCGTCCCTAAGTTATCTTGTTTCTTGGCACCCCTGCGATGAATTGCAGCACATGATCAGTGACTCCCGTATCTACACACCAGGTACTGGTGGATAACACCGCTAAACATGTTTCTACAACAAAAAATAAGAAAGCCCTTCATATCCCTTCTTAGGAGAGGGCAGTTGCCTTTTCAGTATCCTGACTTCTTGTAGCTATGGCACTTGTCTTTCGGCAT